CGCAAACCAATCAAATTTATATTAGCATCTTAAAACGTTCAGCAGAGAAGCAGCTTTGCAATTGTTGCAAAATTCTTCAATATAATTGGTCTTGCCCTTAGTTCTTCACTGGATCGAAATGTACAAAACCTTCAAGAATTTTACAACAGTTGCAAAGCTGTTTTCTGTGCTTAAAATGATCTTGAATTAAAAACGGATTATGAACCAGCCTACAATATAGGTCTGTTTAATAAAGTCAAATATGATTTGTTAATTCTTTCTCTATCCGAAATCTCAGAACGATTTCTAGCATTCTGGACATAAAATTAATATGAACCGACAAAAATAATTGTATTTTTCTTAATATTCCAATAACGCCCTACACACAATGATGAAAATATTCAGAATAAGAACAAACATTAAGATTTTATTTTATTAGAAACATATATTTCGGTATAAGAATTTTAATATTCGGTGTGGGAAAAAGTTTGTGGCGTTAGATATAACGTGAAAAACGCTACGAACTTTTCCCACGAATATATGAACCTAATAGATTGAGGAGAATTTCAGATGCACATGTCTCAATTAGATACGTTCACTCATATCCTTCGGATAGTAATTACGACTGATGAGAAATTATTATCTCGTTTTTGTTAATTAGCAATGTAATAGACAATCAATTAGAGAATAAATTGTATATTTTGAAGCAAAAAAATAGTAAAAATAAACAAATTCATTAAATATTAATTAATGAATCATAAATATTCTAATATCAATGAGCAAATTCACTATATGTTGATCAACAAATTATAAATATTCCAATAAATATTTTAATTTTTTTGACCAGTACTCATTAATGAATTGACTCCTTCATGAATTTGTTCATTTTTATAATTTTCACTTTATTTTAAGAATTGTAATAAGTCCCTAGTGAACTGATTATGTATTTTAAAATAAGGTGAAAATTACAAAAACAAACCAATTCATTAAGTGCTGTTAATTCATTAAGTGATAATAACCAATAAAATATTCTAATGAATTTGTTCATTTTTGTAATTTTTACCTCATTTCAAGATTCACAATTAATTCACTTATTATGATTCTTGAAATTAAGTGAAATTTACAAAAGTAAAAAATTTACAAAAATGAAAATTGCAAAAGAGAAAATATACAAAAGTAAAAGTGACAAAAGTAAGGAAATCTATTAAGTGTTAATTAATATGAAATTATTCTAGTAAATTCGCATTTATTTTTGTAGAGTTTTTTATCTCGTTTCAAGAATAAGCCCTCTGGAAATTAATTGTGCCACATTATTTTTAATTTTAATCTTGGCTTAATATAAGATAAGACAAAGGTTTCAAGAAACATCCCAAAGATTACAACAGAAATTTTAGGTTTGTTTGCATCGCATGCTCCAACATGTTCCTACTTCCTCCAATCGTAGTTTCCATTCATTCAAACACGCTCGTTAGAGTAAGTAGGAGCTATGATAGGAATATATTGAAGCATGTTGGAGTATGACGCGAACAAATCTTTTTATAACATATTGTGCACAAGAGAATCAACCAATCAAAATTTTTCTTTTTTATGAAATGAAAGAAAAGAAAGGATTATGATTGATTAATTCTCTTATATACTGTGCATTGTGTTATACAAAAATTTGTGTAGAACCTCTATTCTGGCTGTGTTCCAAAATTGACTGCCAGTACTGCAAATCTATAGTGCACGTAACGTAAACTGTAGCATTTTCAGTGCTGGCAGTAAATTTGGAACATATTCTATAACTCCTTCTATAATTCCTTAATGTCCATTTCCATCAATGTAGATTAATCTTTAGAACTAGAAAAAGACAAAGAGTAAGTTAAACTGAGATTAAAGCTACATTGATGGAAACGGGCATAAGACAGTAACGACAGTAATCGTTGCGCAGATATTTTATGATATAAAAAACTGTGCAACGTCGTTAATGTTTTAACAAGTTACAGAATAGGATACTTGCTACCGTAACTGTATTAAAATAATGTAAAACTTGTTGCAAGACATGATAAAATATAATTCTTCCCTTCAAAAAGAGAAATCATTAATATTAGTAAATTATATATCTGAATAATATAAATGAGCTTCAAAAACTTTTCCTTAACACTATTATTATTTCTTCCACATAATTTATGATTTTCCGTACATACCTTTCAAGATTTGTATTCCTACAGCTTTCCATTACTTCTAATATTTCATCATCTTCATCGCTGCTTTCAGAAGAATCTATTAATTCTTGCATAAGTGCAACTGCTGCTAATGCTAATCCTAATGTTGCTGTTACCATTCTGGCTGCTGCCAATACTCTTCTGCGATCTCGTTCCATCTGTTGTTCCGTTAGATTTGATATCAGCATAGAACTTATACTACTGGAAGGGGACTGGCCTATCCAAACAACGAGTGGAAAGTGTGAGCAAGATCTGAGAGACAGAAGATGTATTTCTGTATATATTTCTGTCCTGCTTAATAGCTTTTCTTCTTTCTGCGCATGTGCCAAAAGAGGATAAAAGATATTTCTGTCCTTTAAGGTGCGATTACATGGACCATGGTACGCAGTACGCAATATAGCAACTAATAGTAACTAACTAGGCACCTAGGAAACGCGTCACAGTGGGTTTCCAATTGCAATATCCCTAGACACTTTCGTTCACACGGCGATACAAATTGCGTTCCAATTGTCCGTTATCGTCGACACAACGCTACACATCTCTCAAGGTCTGTATAATGTTTGTGTTTTCTAGTGACAATTAAGGCTTAAACACAATAGGCATAGGCAATAGGCACAGGAAGCGGGGAATAACGAACTGTCCAATCAGAGCTTTGAGATATAATATCGAACTTATATATCAGAGCTCTGATTGTTATTCCCTATTGTCTGTGCCTATTGTGTTTAGACTTTAAATTTTTACATGTTACTAAGGGGCTCCATACAATAAAAGGAATAGAGAACAGAGAATAAGAATTTCAACCTATCAGAAATCATGTATTATGGAATACACAGTTTCTGATAGATTGAAATTCTTAAGATGCAGCCACAATAAAAGAAATAAGGAATTTGGAATAAGGAATAAAGATTTCAATCTATCAGAAATCGGATACATGGGAATATACGATTTCTGATAGATTGAAGATAGAATCCTTATTTTTTATTCCTAATTCCTTATGGCCGCACCATTATTCTTTGTTCTCTGTTCCCTGTTACTGTGCGGAGCCTCTAACTGCGGCGGATAAATGAGGTGGAAGATGTTGAATAGCCGGCACTTTTACTTTTTTTTATTTAATACAGGCGGAAAAAGCTATATTATCTAACTCTATCCGGAATGAATTTCAACCATGCACAGCGTACACACTCTGATCCAATTGATGATACATTTTGTGCATTTCTGTGTACATTTATATTAAGATGTGTTAAGCAATTGGAAAGCACCATTGGTTAGTACAATGCTGCGTTCTGTATGCAGGAGTCATAAGGTTTATGGATATCAGAGTACATGAATGCATATGAGTTAACATAGGGAGCTTTCCAGCAAGAGAGATACAAATTGACACAAGAGTCATTCTATCCGTGTTCAATAAGAAACAATCAGTAAGAAACAAAATATCTCGTTGGAAAGCTTATATAAGCTGACATGAATTCTAGAGTTTTTCTTTCTGTACTCTCTAAATTAATTGAAGTGAAATAAACGTATATTTATTTCACTTCAAATTATTGCAGCGTGTTTATCAATCTAGAGAGTACAGGAATAAAAACAAACTTCTGATCTTCTAATTGAAGTTAATTGAAGTTAATTGAATTGAATATTGAATCCAATATCATTCGATGTACAGTACTGAAAATCTACAATAGCATGAACTATAGATTTTCAGAACCGGCAGTGAATATTGGAACACGGCATGATTAGAACCCTAGATTATTACAGAAGTGCTGCAATATATAACTAATGAGTCCTAGATAACATATAAATTGCCCTTTATATTGAGATAATATATTTTTATTATTTTAATTATTAAGATTACAAAGATTTACTAATAATGCAATTGGTAGTAAACAAAGTAATAAAATATATATTGTAATGAATAATGGAAAAAAAATTAAAAGAAAATCTCCCCGACGGGGAATCGAACCCCGGTCTCCCGCGTGACAGGCGGGGATACTAACCACTATACTATCGAGGATTTCTGAACACAACTTTAAAAAATTGCAGTCTAGTCTTAAAGTACGTTTATGATAAATATAGAACATATATATCTTAGAATTTTAAATAATACAATTGAATTGGTTATCTAAAGAAAACGTTCATATTGATATATTTGTGTATTATTCTTTCAAACATTTGTTTTCATTTTCATAACAAAAAAGATATTTAATTATACTTATAATAATATAATTCAGAATTGAGCAATAATGTGTGATTTGTAACATTGTTACCATTGTAGCTAATTTGTAACTGTTAAAAAATTGGTAACGACACTATATTTTTCATTTGTAACTGTAACCATATATTCAGTTAATTTTTAAATAACCATAATCAATATAATAATTATTTTGTACATATATAATAAATATGTATGAAATGTGTATGTATAAGCGAATTAAAAAGAATGGAGTATTACGTTTAATCATGTTGTGAATTAATAATATAATTAATTGGATGTTACTCTAAAAAAATATTAAAGCATTAGAAATTTTAGCAACTCGGTATTTTTTGAGAAATGATAACAAAATTCTTTTCTCAATAGGTAATGAATAACTTTTTATAAAGAATAACGGTAATGAATTATTTTTTAAAAAAGTTCCAACTCTAGGAATACTATTTGAATTAAATGTTTTGCGTAATCAAAATCTCTTCACACTTTTCAATTATTCTTTCAATTATCTTTTCTTTTATGTATGTATAAATAAGTATCTTTGTGCAAAAATACATATCTTTTTAACAATAATTTTATTTATAAATCAATAAAACAAAGAAAAGCTACAAAAATAATCAAGGTTTATGTATTAATTGTAACAATATTTCGAGAATCTCTTGTTTCTGTTTGGATACAGCGATCCTTTGTCTCCTTTCTTCGATTTCCAATTCAAGTCTTGCTTCGCGTTCTTTTCTTTCCATTTTAAATTTTTCTTCCTCGAGTTGAATTCTCCTCTCCTCCAAGTGGAATTGTTTCTCTTGAAATTCTACTTCCTTTTTATGTCTTTCTTGCAAAAAATGCAACGTCGACTTCTTCAACGCATCGTGGCGTATTTTGTTTCTTATTGGGCCACCTGTTCTCGATGGTGACATGTTTGGTGACTGCAATGGGCTCCCTGAAGTTAGTGGAGTCGACGACGAAGATGAAGATGATGAAGTTGGCGATGGTAAAGCAATTGGCAAGAATGTTGAAGATGTGAATGAAGGTATAGATGCTACCGTTGGTACAGTCGGTTCTTCTATTATCACTTCTAGGGTATCAGAAATATTCTCTAAAGTCACATCTCTCTGTCTTGATTTCTGTGCATTAGAGCCTTTGCCAGAACGCCTAAATTCTTTTTGCAAGTCTTGTATTTGCTGTAGCAAACTTTCTTTTTCATTGTACTGTTCTTCAGTCCCTGACCTAAAAATTAGCCAAGGTACAATAAAAACATTCGATAAATCTCTTTATAATCATGAAGTTATGTTCATGTTTCAACAGAACAGAAAACAAGAAGTGATTTCATGACACAAACTCTATTTTTCTTAGGTCTGTTTTCTGTGACTAAACCAGTTTACACTTTGGAACTTAAAATGAAGTAGGTATATTTAGTAGAATAGTGCATTAAATTTAGAATTTAATAAAATATAAAAATGATTTAATTATATAAATAATAAAATTAAGGTTAATAAATTAAATATTATTAAATTTTATTAGATTATTTATTCTTGGAATTTTGAATGTATTATGTGAGAGTAGTTTTTTTTTATATTTATCGAAAGCAAGAAAAAAAGTTCTAGTGCAGTCTAGTGCAGGAACAGAAAACAGACCACATGTGTCGCTAAATGAGAAGCTTCTCTTTTTTAATTATTTTAATAACACATCTAAGAAGGTTTCTTTCCTTTTTTTAGAAAAAAACACTTGACACAAATATTGTTCTATCCTTCTTCATTTCATTCTATGTATTCATACATAACAAAGATAAAATGACATTTGTGTCTTCTGTATTTCCTAAAATGAAAACAATCTAAGGATAGATGACATATCAATTATCAATGCATCTTATGTTAATTAATTAAAATAAAGCGACATGTGCTTACTCACTTCTTCAAATGTGCGCGGCCTTCTCTAGTCCAGATTTTTAGAAGGTGATCGACGTGCTCTTTGACGCAACGTAAACTAAAGTTCTTCTGCGTCGCGTTCACGACTCGCTCGGCAACGGTTTTCCACCTGTCGCTCTCCTCATATGGGTTCTGCCTCGAAACTTCTCGTAAAAGTATCAAATCATCCAGAATTGTAAAGCGAAGCCGCTCTGGTTTCGCCATCGAGCCTGGTGGTGCACACTCTCATACGGATGTCTCGCCGTGTAGCAGCCTTTGTCGTAGCCTTGTCGAAAAGCGCGAACGCTCTATCTTCCTCGCAATAACATAGCAACATGTCATTGTCGAGGAGAGATGTCTCCTCGTACAGTATACGACGTACCTAGCTTTTTTGATGGAATTCAACATGGCGGACTCGATATACTTTGAATTCTTGTATATAAGTGGCTCTAAATCATCTTTACCGACCGCGGATAAAATCATCAATATTGTATATCGATCGAGCATTTTTTTCAATTATTGTCCGATTCATCAGTGTTTCTCCTAACCTCGAAAACGAAAAACACAAATCGTTTGCTCTGATGTTTAAGAAAAAAAAGTTAAGATTACTTTGATTTTCAAGAAGAAAAGTTAAAATTCTTTTCACCTACTTTTTCGTGAAAGATCGCGAAAACTTTATCAGTAAGTGTACTTTTTTTAATTTTACATTAAAAAATTTTTAACAAATGTATCCAATTTCTGGATATCCAGAAATTAACCGATTAAAAATGAATAAACATTAATTATACGTTGAAATAATATTGTAATATTATTAGGAAAATTATCCTAAAAAAATGTTAGAGATAACGTGCAACGACCGTCTTGGTAAAAAGGTTAGAGTGAAATGCAACCCAGACGACACCATAGGAGACCTGAAAAAATTGATAGCCGCCCAAACTGGAACACACTGGGAGAAGATTGTATTAAAGAAGTGGTATACTATTTTCAAGGACCATATAAAGTTGCAGGACTGTATCCTTTACTATGAAAAATCGAGTCAAAATACTGTTAAATATCTTATATTTCTTAAGAAATCTTTTCCTTAATACACTGCCTCAGATGAGATACATGACGGCATGAACTTAGAACTCTATTATCAATAATTTTATATAAAAAACATTACACGTAAGCATTTTTAACATCATAATTATTAAATTTTCTTTTCTATGTCTAAATATATAATATATATTAAACTTTATTTTCTTTTCTACATCTAAATATATAATGTATATGTATAGAAGAATAAATGGTTAAACATAAAATATTAAATGATCACAAAAATGTCAACAAGGAAAATTTCTATTTTTGCATTATACAAGCCTCGTAATTACTCATAAATATTGCTATATTTTAACAATATCTAATTTATTCTACAAATTAATAGTTTCAATTGTGCCACACATAATATAATGCTCTTTGATATTAGTGCCTTTACAACTTGCATATGCAGGATGTAACTTGAAGGTATAGCAAAGTGATAATGCTGTAAGAAAGATGATCTTGTTAGGCATATGAACATCTTTATTCTACAGCATGTATTTTGCTTTTATAGCTCTGCTACATATCTTGGTTACATCCTGTATATTCTATATAAATATCTAAGTATAAGAGAGTTTTTAGTTTTATAATATTCTATAATTTTTACTCAAATATTACTGCAAAATATAAACGCTAAAAATATCATTAATGATGCCTTCTAAAACATTAATCTAAAAAGATTTTCCCTTCTGCTTTATAGAATTAAAATTATATAAAAAATATGTCCGAGTATTGAAATAAAACACGACTTGGCGGATCACTCTAACTAAAGCATGTTAAAGTCTCAAAAATTAATGCGGCCTCTTGAATAATCCCTCTACCCTGCTTATTGGACTTTCAGGTCCCACCATTTGTCTACCTCGGTTGCTTAAGAAGTCTCTTATGTGCTGCACTATCAGATCTATCGCCACTGCAACAGATCACGAAATATCAGTACATAATCACGAATATATACGCAATTATGTCAGGGATAAGATGAATTGCTTTATTTGCAATATTATATCATTATACATTTTGGAACAATATCAAATTGTGGATATTTGAAGAATTAATTGTTACTATTTCAAATAATAACTGTGATCGCATTAGGATTACGTATGGTTTTATTATGCATAACACACTTGTATTTATACTGTTTTGCAAATACAAGAAATCTTCTTATTCTTTTTTTTATTAACAATATGCAAGTGTCCCAGAACTGGTGTTCTCTTTCTTTCTCTTTCGCACTCTTTCAACTACAGGTATTCATTGAGGCAGATTAGTAATCTCAAAATCGAAGCCTCTCAATAAAACTTACTAAAATTTAAGCTATATATATTAACAAATTAACAGACTTTAATGAATTAAGAAGTTAGTGAACCAAAAGATTTTAATTCAAATTTAATAATTATTATTTCTATACTGAAGACTCACTCCTGTCGAAAATAAGAAAGAGGTACAATGATGTGTATATGATCTTATAGAATCATTCTATTGAGAGTTACATTATATTAAACAAAACTTTCGAGATTTTTGTTGTACAGAAAGAAATTAACTATTTGGACGTATCATGTATACTTGTATGTAATGACATACAATAATTAATTATTATAGAATGCAATAGAGATAAATATTTTAAGATAAGTTTATAAACTAGATAAATTGAATCTTAATTATGCTAGGAAATACTTGTGATTACATTTCTAAAATATTATGCAAAATGCAAATGCAAAATATATAAGTTATTAAAAATTGAATGGTCTTATAGAGATGTCTAAAATGCAGGAAATGGAAGTAACTAGTTACTGTAACTGCCATTACTTAGTTATTTAGTTACCTTATAATCATGATTTGGATATTGCAAATTTTTTATTATAATAATAAGCCTATTCTTTTTGATTGAATTTCTTCTTGGAAAAAAAAGGAAGAAAGATGAACTGATGCAAAAATTCAGCTAAAAAGAACAGACCTAGTGTAACGCCAGAGTTGGAATAGTCATAATTACTTATAACGAGTCGGAAGTCATTTGTTATTGAAAAAATTAATAACTTATAATTTGTAACTCGTTATTTTTTAATGTAATTTGTAACGGAATAACTTTATGGTATTACTCATTAGTAATGAGTCATTATTTATTACTTTTACAATAAGTAACACGTAATGATAATTTATTTTTCAAAGTGACTTTTCTAACCTCAGCATAATCTCACTGTTTAGTTAGTCATTACAGTCATAAAAAATTTCAACATCATTATTAAAAATTGTTATTATAAAAAGTAACTAAAAATAACGATAAAATAACTCTTCCATTCCCTGTTAAAATGTATGCGGTATTTAAAATACATTTGTACACAACATACGAATTTACACACATATCACAGATACAATATCGCACACTCATACATATTCTTAAATTTCTTTTATCATTTATATAATACTTGAGACATTGTCCAGAAGATTAAGTCACCTAGATAGTTAAGTGATATTAAGTTATAAACGGTAAAGGATAGCCGAATAAAAACAACATTTCATACAAATTCATTTAATAAAATTGAATTCCTAACGTTTCGAAAAATTTCTAAAATTTTTAAATTTTTATTTTATTTTCTTCTTATTTAAAAATTGAGAAATAAATAATGTTAAATGACGAAAAAAATATAAATTAAAAATAATCGTTCTTATCCTCTCATTCTAAATGATTCAACATAGTTTAAGTACGTTATTATTACAGTTTTCATATAAAAGAATATAGAAACATTATATACTTCTTTAGTAAGTAGACATGAGAAATATAAAAAGGCGATGTTAATTATATTGATATAAAATAGAAATTAAAAAAAAATTTTTTAATATTAAAATAAAAGAATTTTTCCAGAAAAAAATTAAAAATTCAATTATGTTGACTGTATTGATGCCAACTTCTTTTAATTCACCTATTTTTTTAGTGGATTTACACAATTTCATGCATTTTTCAATGATTTAAAATCGTAATTCTTATGCTAATGTATTTATCAGAATAAAATGTACATAAAAAGCACCATTTCTCCGCCATGTAAGTGTAAGATATAATCCGTCAAAGAAACATAATACATAATTGGCGAATAAACAATGTCCGTTTTCATCATATAAAATTAAAATTGTTAAAGACATGTTATATTTAATTGATCACAATCTAACGTTTGTGTATCACAGTAAAAATAAAAATTCTAGACATTAGTAAATATCAAGTCTCATATAAAAGTTCAATATTTTATATGATTATTGGTAGAAGTTGTTCTAATCTAATTAGACAAATATCATAGCAAAAGTATTTATCACATCTATTTGTTTTTTTCTTTTAATCAACATTCTATTTATGTTGTATATGTCTTAATCTCTTTTAAGTTACTGCCAATTGATATATTGATGATATAAAGATGAGTAATCCTGCATTCAAAAACGGACATTACTTTTCCGTTTATTATTAGAAAAAGGGATTGGAAAATGTCTCATAGAATTCAGTCATACATAGGAGCGTGATTTAGAAAAAAATGCAGTGCTTGACAGAGTGAGCTTATCATGCTTAAGTCATCTGCTGAGCGTGTCGGATGAGGCCGAAGTACGCCTACGCTGGTGGAAGAATGGATGCTGCCCGGCTGAGTTTTCGGCGTTTTTCAAACGCATAATATCCCAGATGTGGTGCACTATTAGATCTATTGCCACTGCAAACATACAACAACCAGACCATATAGGTTTCCCGTGAGATATTCTCTGTCTCTTTTAAACTTTCGCTTAGTTCAAGTAGGTGTAGCTCTGACATCCACAACCACGGCATACCAGGCAGCACCCATGAGATATATAACAAGTTGAATGGATGCAATTTAAATATACAAATAAAAAGAAAATAAAAATTTACTGTGTAAATAATCCCGTATTATTAAAACAAATATATATATATATATATATATACACATATATATATATATATATGT